AAATCAGCATATTAGCCTTGCTGTTGTTCGCATGCTGGCATTAGCATGAGGCACTAGCATGGCTGTAGATGAACAAAACACGGAAGCACTTTTTCCATCAGTCACTCCTATTATACATAATGTGTGTGTGTGTGTGTGTGAGTTTGAATGGTCCCCATATTTTTTTTATTCACTAATTTTTTGTTTGCCATCTTATCTGTGCATATGCCGGATACAACAGTGTTTGCACACACACATCAGAGGTTGTGGTTATAATTCATTGTTTGCTCACACATTTAGCTCTTTATTACAAGTGGATGAAGGAAACAGGATGTGAAGGAAACAGGATGTGAAGACAAACATGTACAATAAGAAGAAGAGACAAACATCCATCACTGAGACATTTTTATTTCAGTCTTACAAAATAAATACCTCCAAATTTAAAAATTGTGTGTGAAGTCTCTGGTGGGTATTATTTTCAAGCCAGCACAGGGAGAGTCAAAATCAAACATGCAAACCTGTTGATCATGCTGTCCAGGATTTTTATACACACTAGCTTGTTTGCACTGGGTGTTAGCCAAGATAAAACGGGAGGAATTTAATGCTAACACACACAGTGGACGATAACTGCAGGAACTGACTGTGCTGGAGCCAAACCTTTGTTGTAGTGTTTTTCTCATCAAATTCAAAGACTATTTGAAGTTCTTGATATTTTAGGGGGATTTACAGCAAGACCAGCAGGCTTTAAATGTCATTTTTAAGATGTATTCAGAAAAATCTGTAATATGCTGTCACACAACCTGCTGTGACTGACTTAAATGTAACTATCAGAAACTCCACAGGGTACCTTGAAAAAATACATCACTGATAATGTCATCAATATGAGCTCATGTGCAGTTAAGTTACGGGACACTTGTTCAGCAGTGTGTGTCATAATTTAAAACATATTCCACACACATTATAACAAACTTTACAAACTTCCATGTATTCAATGTATTGCACATATTTTAACCCTTTTACAATAATGGTTTGTGGAATACATATTAGTCATTTAAAAAATCATAATTAAAAAAGATTAAAATCTATTATTAAGAAAAGTTATGGTTATGTATGGAACATACACATTGTACATTGAGGTAAATCTTCCTCAAAAATATAATTAAAGTAACAGTTTTTTACCCAGGTTTAGGATTTATTGCATCTCCGTAACCCATTGAATTATGGACTTCATGTAAGCAAATAAAGATATGTTTACATTCAGTGTTTCTCACCAAAAAACTACCACTAATTGTCGATCATTAGAGTAAAACCATCACCACGTGCACAATACAAACAAACTGTGATTTGCTCAATAGCACCCCTAGTGGTCAAAAACTACTATAGGGTTTCTTTAAGTTAGATGTACAATATGTGCGCACTTGATGAAGAGATAAGACGGTGGAGAACAGGAGTGATCTTTCTCACTCTGCCAATACACCAAACATTTGTCCGAGCAGGATGTCAACACTTAAATTAAAGGTTTAAAAAAGGTCATTCGGTATCCAGGACACCGGATTCATTCACCAGAATGTAACTAACTTACTAAAATGTGTAAAAAAAAAAAAAAGGAAAAAATCTGTGTGACTAAGCTCTTCCAAAGACTATTTTCATGTTTGTTTACTTCACGGGCAGATGACAGGGCCTGGTGGTTGAGCAAACAAGAAAATTGGATTGCTGGACAGGACACATGGCCCAATTCAACCTCTTGGAAAACATAAACCAGTGAAGGAAGAAATGGGAGCGGATCCTCATGTTTGTGAGAGGAGAATGAGATAAGTAAATTAACAAAGATGGTCTAATTTCAGCAATTTTGATTATTAAATTTGATTAGTTTCTGAGTGTATGTTTCTGTCACAATCGATGGGGAGTTTCTCACTCGTTTCAACTCATTCACATCACATTAGAGTAATTGTGATGATCTCGACACATTTTCGACACACTTGCAATTTCGTCTTCCAAGTTGTAATTTCATGTGTAAATGTTTGTCTTTATCATTGGAACCTGATTATTCTCCGTAAAGAAAACCTGACCCACCCACTGTGCAAATAAGTCTTACAACTATATTCGTACCCTTAAACCAACATTGCATCAAATACTGACAGAGATACAAAGGTTTTAATAGGCTTTGCATTCCTTTGCTGTACTGTTTTTTTTTTTGCAACATGTTATTCAGTCCAGTTTTAATTTGTCTACCTTCTCATGACACTTTCCATATAGATTCTCCTGATAAAATCCCTGGCATGAATGCAACAAATCAACCATAACAAGATCTCACTTGTCAGTTAATATCTGAGGTCATGCATCACCACTCTCTCCTATAAAATCTACAGATCCATGACATGTGACTGGGGACTTAAGCCCAACTGGCCTCTACCTAACCTCATGATCATTGCACACTTGAATACTGTCCAAGCAACGAAATGCCCAAAATGATTCCTATCTAATTTATTTACCATTAATCAGGTATTTCCTGACATAAATGCAAACCAAAAGGGGTTCTAATGTGTTTAATACTGTACCAGTGCCAAGGGGGTCAGGTGGGCCAAAGCACAAAGCTGGACCCTTTGAAGTAAGTCAAGGAAGTCAAGGAAGGCGGAGAGGAGGTTTGTCTCCCTGCCTGACTCATGGTTAACTAGACATGTGATTAGCATTGCTGTCTGCTACTTAGTTGGCCCTGCAGTCAGCCTGGTCTGCCCTCAGAGGAAATACTGCCTGCGGGCTACTCTGTCAACACCAAGGTAAGTTTTATTTATGTATACTGACCTCCTTGTGATGTTAAGAGGAATGAATGATGCTAATGCCCACATGTGTTCGTATCTCAGAGATGCTACTATAAATTTAAACCCGTTGTTGCGTCTTTTTTTTATACTTGTGATACTTAAACTTATCAGCTGGCAACAGTGTTTTTGGCTCCTTTCATTGGACCAAACTCATGTCTGAAACTAAATCTACTGAAAGGTAACCAAGGTTGCCACATTTAAAATAAGTATAATATAGTATAATGTATTCTTTATCTGTATTGTTCTTATGCTGGTAAAACTATTCCAGGTTTGTGTGCGCCCACACCTGTTATCATGCCAAACCTTCCTTTTTGCAAACACAAGGAGTCCTTCAAATGTGCCCTGCAGCGAATTTAATGCTGTTAATCCTTTGTAGACCTCATGGTAAACAATTTCAATGGCTAATGAATAAAGACTGAAATATTAATATAGTAAGGAATATAATAGTTAGTGTGTGCATGTTTTCATAATCTTCCTCTAATACAACAAAGATACTAAGTTGGTCACACCCGCTAAGCAAATACACACAGGGCTTTTATATGCTGCTTGGCTATTCAATGAAGAATTTAACTTGTGTGCAAACTATATCATGGCTTTTAGGGGAGCTTAATGTTTTGACTGTGGAAATGAATAATGGCAATTTGGTACAGATCAGGAAAGTTTGTTTGTTTTTTCTGATCTTTTCTTAACTGACGTTCCTTAACTTAAAGTAAATAAAGTCAATGATATTGAGCCACCACGCTTCAATGTTGATGGCAAGAATATCATGCATGACGGTATCTTTATTAAAGTGAATTGTTGATGAATCATCCTAATGCATGAATCATGCATCAATAATAGCCTTATTCCATGCATGATTTGGAAGATATAAAAAAAGTACCATATCATATTGTCCATAGTAAGTCTTATTAAGCTTCCCCTGGCTCCCCTGTAGTTCACACCCTGCTTTAACTGTGGGAAGGTCGTAAGCAGTATCTTACACAGCTGGCTGAGTACAATGTTCGACTCAGATTGTTCTAGCATTTAGATGTGACTTATATCTCTGTTAAACTTGCATGCTTGTTTTTACCATTAGTGCCCACTTGCAGAAGCAGAAATTAGATTAGGCTTCTTTTTTTTTTTTACATAACACAATTATGTGATGTTCTTGAGCATTCCTCCTGTCCTCCCTGATTATCTAGTGTTTACATGCAATTCAGTGGTATTAGATTGTGTGTGTGAAGGTCTGCGTGTACATGTGTGCATCGCTCTGTCGGCCTGAGAGATACCTCATCCTCTACGACCAATTCATTATAAAACTGGACCATGTGAAATATTTGGGCAGGCTCCATTTAACAGACTTGATTAAAATCTCTGAGCAATGTGATGGTTGAACGGTGCCAAACCTCCCCAGATCACAGGACAGATGCATGTGACAGAGATGTTTTAAGCACCTAATCGAGAGCAATACTCCAAGTCACTGACCCTTGATCGATACTATTATTCTGGTCTGCTGTTTTTGGCGAAAGAGCAAGAAAAACATCTGTAACCTTTGAATTGTAATTTCGGTTAGGCTTAAGTTAAAGGTTAATTAACTTTTAGTGAAGTTAGTGTTACAGTCTGTCAAGGAAGGAAAAAGAGAAGACAGAAACTATTTTCTAGCTGTTGAGCATTAAAGAACGGAGATATTAGAAGAGCCATAATGTCCGAAATGCGGAAGTTGTCAAGAAGACTCACAATCCATATTGAGGTTTTAAAGTTGGTTGCTGTAATCTTGCCAATAATAGCCACAAAGTTATCCACATGACTTTGCAGTGAAAGATAGGGCACAAAATCCACAGTCACAGCCCAACCCCTCGTTCTGTGCAAAATACATTCTAAAGCCAAAGCTAATAAGAGGCTTCAGCAGCTGAGTTGGCCAATTAAGTGGGGATCTTCCATATTTACAGTGTTTATAGTATGAGATTCCCTTTGCATGTTTCCATGGACAGTGTTTCCTACTTTGCATGTAGGGTTTTTTACCAAGGCACAACACCAGCAATGTACACACTACAGCTAGGAGACCTATCTTTTAATGAATATATAGGCATGAGCAAATGTCTTGACCAGACTTTTAATTTTACAGTGTTATGTTTGCAACAAAGTGAAATAAAGAGCAACGTGCAGCAGATGTAAACAGGGCCTTTATCCACTGTTGTGGTGCAATGTTTAAGAGGTCAGTGAAACACTTATGGTTTAGAAACTTGTGTTTCAAATTCATTCCCTTTGCTCCCACCAATGAGTAGCAGGGACATTCACGTGCAAACTTCACGCAGGAAATCTGTTTCCAACCTGGCACGTGAATTTGTACCGTGAACGAGACGTGACCAACTGATTGAACACTCATGTCGAGTTGTTTACTTTAACACTAATGTTGCATTGAATCGCTGGCGGTGCAACACTGATTGATTATTTGGAAAAAGAATGCAAGTGACCTAATTTTATAATTTGTAGTGATCATGCAACATCTTTACTCTCACTTTTTTAACACTATTAATGCTGACTAATAGCTTAACCTTGCCTGATTTACAACCGACTAATCGTATTTTTTCTTTTTACTGTAGCAGCACCAGGCGGCCTGCCAGCTCACAGGCATCAGATTCACAATTATGCCTGGCACAACAACAGGCAAGAAGCTGGATCTTTCCAAGCTCACAGATGAGGAGGCCAAGCATGTTTGGGCAGTCGTCCAACGAGATTTTGACCTGAGGAAGAAGGAGGAAGACAGACTTGGGTAAGTTAAAAAGATCATGTTAAGTTTCCATTTGATAAAGATCTGTCTCTCAGTGATCCCATAGAAAGATACCCCTTTGGATGTGTATGGCTTCAGGATTAACCTCACTATGGTTGTGCAATCCCACAATAACCCCCAAAACCCCTGAAAACCCCTGAATTCTTTAGGGGTTTGGTATTTATAAAACACAAGTAGTAATGGTGTCTGTAATTAAAATGAACCCTATTACAGTATTCCAATACAGACAAACAAAAAATAAGCAGACAAATAATGAATAATCATGAATTCAGAATTATAAATCTAAGACTAGTATAAGATTATACTAAAAAAAAAGTAAAAAAATGTAGTGTTTTTATTTTCTGCTCCAAATGTCAGCTACAAGGCATGTGACTCACAGCACGTAACTTATGTAAGTTTTGTTTTCATATGGGACAGAAACCCAGGTTTACTGGTTGAAAATCCACCCAAAATGGACTTAATCGCTCTTTTTACTGTTACCAGACACAAATGGGTTTACATCAAAGCCCAGTGTGTCTCATACAGAAGGGTACTCTGTGTATCTATATGAGACACTGAGGAGGGTTACAAAGTGTCGGTAATTGAAAAGAATTGAGAATTTGTGATTTCTTCTCTCACACAACTCACAAATAGATCAGTAAATTGGACACTAGAGACAAACAAAAATCACTTTTGAATAGAAACACTGTCCAGTATTTGTTTCACATGGTGGTTCATTGCTCTTATATCGTATTATAACGTCAGCGTAAACACACATATCGCAGTGAGCCAGTAATCACATATCCTGTTCTCAAACCGTGTAATGCGAGATAACTGGTTGTCTGCTGGGTTTCTTTATTGAGGGAAGATGGCTGGTCTTGTTTAAATTTCGTAAGGCAGAAATACAGTAAAATGCTGCGCTGTATTTCTGAAGGCTGCTCTAACTTTGTTGAGCTGTGCGTCATCATGATTCAGTCATTTGCTCCTAACTCACTGAGCTACTGCTCACATGTCTCCTTGGCAATAGTGAGTGATGGATGGTTTAGATATCAGGCTGTGGGAGGAAGAGGTTTAGAGGGAATTTCCCCTCTCTCTTGGATGTGGGATGACCTCTGCACAGCAGCAGCAGCAGCAGTCCTCTTGGAGAGTAAGGATAGTCCACAAAATGAAGAAAACATTCACTTATACATTCTTTCACCTGCTATTTGTATCTTTAAACCTTTGTTGAAAGCCTAAAGCTACAAAAGTCGTGATGTGTGAAAGCTTACCCTAAGGGCTGTGTTGACACTGCAGGCGGTGACTCAGATCAGTTTTTTTCATGACAGTTTGAACAGAATAAATCACATATAATCTGATCATGTGGTCCAAATCAGAGACTGTCACAACACAGGAAAATCAGGATTGGACCCAAATGCAAGACAGCACTGGAAGCAGGAAGATTTAGTTGATTTAATATAATATTTCCACAAACAAGCAGGTCTACATGCAGGTAAACAGATCGAAGAAATGCAAAAGCAAAAAATCTAACAAGGGAACTCAGAGCAGAGACAAAACCAGGAACAAAAACAAGACACAGCTGAGGGGAATGATAACGATGATTGCTTAGCGGGTGTGACCACTCAGGGTGGGGCAGATAATCTAAACAGACAAAGACAGCAAATGAGTGTAAACAAGACACAAGAGGAGGAGAATTACAAAATAAAACAGGAAATAACTCAAAGAAAATCCCAAACCATGACTGTTTTTTTTTACAATGTGACCCCAGTGTGAACAGTCATATTAGAATTCATGTGACCTTTATGTCACTCTGGATTTATTTGGGTCACTTCAGGTCACTGTGACCTGTTCACACTGGAATGTCATATGGGCCAAACAAAACAACAACCAAAAGGTTTATACACAGTATTTATAATTTCAATTATTCACTGAAACCACCCACACATCATCCACCCCCCAGATTACACATGGCAGCGTCGTTACATATTGCCCGGAAAACCTGGAATACCTGCTTAAGTTTCCTCCGTATCAGTTCATTTGATTAAACACAACACGTATATCAGAACAGGCACCACATGGGCATAAACTGAAAGAATGAAGGTATTAAAGCTAAATTTGTTGTCTACAAGACAACAGGAACCGCTTTACAGTAAAGCCTTTCTCCTTTCACTTTATATGACCCTTCAGAGCATATCACCAAACACATTTGCAAGTGATCAGATCAAATGATCCCCAGGAGCTCCTGGTGTGTTCAACTTCACTTATTGTATTACAAGTTGTAACCTCTTGATGTACACACCCATAGTCCACACACACAGGTGTTTCCAGTGAAGGAGTGTGCGTGGGGGTAAAAGCTGTTCGTGATTAATCTTGAGTTTGGCGACGTCACACAGTTTCCATATAGCTCCACCTACTTCCACCTGACTGGAGGTAGTGATTGGAAACACCTGTGTGGGGTTGCAGGGCCTTTAAAAAACAAGTGAACTAAAGTCTATCTTGATGTGATCTGGCTCTTTTTATTACTCATGTGGAGGGGTTTTTTCCTACGATGGCTATCTCAGACAAATTGATTTCCTACTTATTCGTACAGCTTTCTGATCTCCAGGAATAAAATACTTCAGTTTATATTTCTCAGTGTTGTTTCTGGGCTGGATATCTCGTCTGAGCCACTTTGAAATGTTCCAGACTTTAAGACAATTTTTGAATGCATTCACAAGATTTCCTGTTGTTCCTTATTTTTCCCCTCCTCTGTTAGACATTGTGCTTTTGTGCATAATAAAATGGTCCTTTTACAATGATTTAATCGCACTGGAACCTTCTTGTCTCCAGCCTGGATTTCCCCAAAGCAGCAATAAATGGGGGAAGTCTGATTTTTGTCAACGTACATTTTCATACATGCTGTTTATTCTTGAAGATTCCTCACTCCAGAGGCAGGTATGTCTGTGTTTGTGAGTCTCCTTCGGGACTACACTTTCCTTCTTCAGTTTCAGCTATTTAGCTTGCGTTCCCTGCCAAGGTTCTTCTTCAGCTATTTGTTTTCCGTTCAAATGAGCTGTTGTTTTCATGCATGGCCTCTGCAATCTATAAATAGGTGCTGATCTTCATGTGGTTTACATATAAAACTGTCACGACTAAATCTTGTAAAACCACATATGTTGGATTATAGAATGGAATATCTTATTCTGGCGAGGATTTAGTGTTTGTTTTGCTTCACCAAGTCCACCACAACAACAAAGACATCATTTAACTTCAAAAAAAGGGATTTTTAAGTTTGTTTAGTCATAATTTTCCGTTGGTGTATTCATTTTAAAGTCAAAAATGTAATGACATGAAATCTGTGATACATTAATATTAAAATACTTTCTAATTAGGCTACTTCCTGTTGAGTTTGGACTTACTTTCATCAGATCAGGTGATCAACTGAATGCTAATGTTGCTCTGTTTCCAGTGTATATAGGCAATTATTTGCTTGCACATTCGCTACATCAAGTTTAAAAAGTGATAATATGTCAGTGTTGTGTTTCCACTCCCCGCAAATGGCAAAAAAGGACAGAGGGAGAGATTTAATGCTGTTTGAAAGTGTTCTGGACTTGAGCATAGTTTTAACTGTGTAGCTTAGTTTCCTGCACAGAGATAAAAATAACCTGTCTTTAATTTGAAGACAGAAACCCAAATTAAGTTAAGCTGCAACAGATTTATAACTGTGAGAAGTTTGTTAGTAAGGTCTAAATTTGGATGGGTTCACAAATGAGTCATATGAGCAAAGGCTCATTTTAAAGAACATAAAAGCATAACAGCCCTTTGAGGAAGAATCAAAAACTATCCTAATATCCCAAATGCATTTCCTCATTGATTGACTGTTTGTTGTCTTAAGCAAAATGGAAACGCATCTACATACAAATTGAATGTGCTGCTGCTGGGTCTCTCACTGGAAAGCATTATGTCTTAGCCCTAATCGTCTGTGTGTGTGTGTGTGTGTGTGTGTGTGTGTCTGTGCCAGAGTGTGTGTGAGAGTCCCTCTTTTTATTTCTCTCTCATTCTCACTTTGAATCGCCCCTTGAAGTATAGGGTGACAGAATTGATTTAAGAGAGAGAAAAAGAGGAGAATATGAGGTTTTGATGTGGAGATGGAAGATTGAGAGATAAGCACACCGGCTCAAACGCGGATAAGAACGTCTGAAACTGGAAGTTCATTTAAACTAGAGAGTGTTTGATTTGTGCGGACAGGCATGGCGAGAAGATCGCCATGTATGGGAACACTCAGTTACTTTGCTCTTCATTGCTGTCTGTGTCTAAGTGAACGTCTGGCTGCCGCACCCGGATTCCTGAGCTCTGCCAGTTAAGCAAATACTCTGCAGTACCTGCTTTTAATCAAATACTGAGGAAAAGGGAGGATTCAGAGAACATACTTAAGGGTGTTACTTGGTAAAAACTACAGAGAAAATGTACATGGTCATATCAGCTATTTATAGTGTAAAGCTTAGTTTTATGACCTTCACGTTTTGCAGCAGGAAAGGAAGTGAGAGAATATAATCATTTAATTGTTGCATTGTAGTTCCCTGATCTCTTTGAAAAAGTGCTGTTGTGATGAAAATTGAATATAATATTCATAAGTATGTTTTCGTAGTTTCTCCTACTAACAGAGGAAGGGGAGGCGAGTGGTATTCAGCTGGCTACAACCTGCAATCTCACCAGTAGATGCCACTAAATCTTACTGGACCTTTCAAGGTGTCCTGTGGAGTTTTCTTCTAAATAACCAAGAATTATTTTTACATTACAAGTGTTGAATTCATTTTTTACATCGTGCAATATTTAAAAACAAATAGTTCTTAAAGATTTTTAAATCCAGCTGTTTTTACATCCATGTTTACTTGCTTGCAGTAAAATAGTGTGAAACCAGTGGCAGGACAATGTGTGTGAATCGGTGTGTGTACCATGTGTTTCCTCATGCACAAACACAACATCTCCTGTACAGATATTTAAGGGAAGAACAATTAATTCAAGAAGAATAACTAAATAATGATCTTATGGGATCTAATTAAAATTTTGATAGATAAAATAATAAGGAGATCAGGTCGCTGGGGAAGGAGGGATGGGGGTCAAATGAATGGATGGGAAGGGAGGGAGTAAAGAAGGATTTAAAAAGGTTTAAGTTACTAGGATTGTAGGACATTCAGATGGAGGTCATTTTCATTTCAGGGGGGTTTCTTTTCTATATTATAGTATGATATATTCTTGTATGTATTTTTTTCCTTCTTTATCCCTTACACTATTTATTATTATATTTATTTATTTAGATATGTGATATGTACTCCATAATGAATGTGGTAGTTGAGAAAGCCAAACCAATAAAATACATTTGTCAAAAAAACACAACACAACAGGGACCCCTCTCTTTTACAATGGTTCATAAAAGCATTTAAACATTGCCAGGAAGAAATCCTCTGCTGCACATAAGTGTCTTCATATTTACAGATAGAAATATGAGGGACAGCAGTCTACAAATAAAGGGGTTGACAAACCAACAGGGAATTATCACACAAATCTGCAGTTTCACTCTACAGAGCATTTTAGCGTCTTTCAGCTCATTGTTTCTGTTTCATGGCCCACAGCTTTACTGCTTTGCATCAGTCTCATTGCTCTCGTCAGCATCATTTCCAGCAGCAGGCAGCTGTTTCCAGTAAAAAAAAAAAAGCTCTGATGACTCTGCATTGTCTCTACTACCCAAAACAGCAGACGGAGACAGTTAGCAATTAGCTGTTGAACATAGTGTGGCATTTGGCAGCTAAAGAGCCACATATTTCACTCAGAAGTGGATGGAGACCAAAACAGAGCTAAGAAGAAGAGTTAGTATTGGACTTGCATTCATAGCTTTTAACACTACTTTGCACTACATTTCCCCAGTGCTGCTGTGTTAACTTTAATTTCTCCCATGGGGGATCAATAAAGAAACATCATATATTAAAAACCCAGATCCAAGTAAATGCTAATATGGCCCTGTGTCTGGTGGATATGTAACTTTCTGAACAAAATTCTGTCTTTTTATTAATTCTGCTTTAATGTTGTTATTGTATTATATTATATTGTGTTTATGTTGAGTGCAAAACAGTAAAGCAACAATCTAATCAACAAAATCTAAAATATTCCAGAGCTTTCAGTCACATCTCAAAAACCCTAAACCCCCCCTCACTCTTGGGAAGCCACTCGATATTTGAACTTGCCAGCCATGTATCAGTGCTTGGAAGGCTTGGTTGTTGCCTACAGCACCCATCTTATTTGAATCATAGAAGGCAATCTTGTTTACCAGCTCTGTGGGATTTGATGTTTCAGAGGAGGGAAGATTTAACAGATATTACTTTTAAATCACATCGCTAATGGCCAGCAGCTGTATCTGCAAAAGGTTATGGGATAATCCCGATGATCTGGGCTATGATTTAAAATAAAAAAAGCTTTAATAAACAATAAGCATCCTCTCATCCTCGGTGGACTCCACCCACTCTGTGTGACATTTGGGATTTGTTATCTGAATTTTTCCTTTCCGCTACTGTCAGCATCTCGGAGTGCTGAGTGAGGATGTTGCTTTTCCAACAATCAGCACAAGTTTGCCTCAAACTTTGTTGAAGAGAATGGTCTGACTCAAAGTAATGAAGTCATTCATGACACATGTGTGAGGAGCCGCCAAGTCACACAGGGGAGAGGAAAGATGTGTTTGTTTGAACAGGATTTGGCTTTTCTTTTTGAAGTCTCTGAGTGGAACTTGACTGAGGTTATTGCAGCGCTTACTGCCTCGTGCAGGTATAATTAGTAGCCGAGTATTTTCTAATGTTTTCATTGAGCGCAATTTCAGTCATTCCTGCAAGATGTTGCTAAAATTAATGCAGTGAGAATATTTGAAGAGAGTCATTTCTCTCTCTGCTGAATAAATGTTTGGATGGATGTTTTTTGCTACTTAAAATGAACTTGTTCCTGACCAAAAGTAAAATGTGACTTTAAGGTGTGTTACTAAATACCCATCATTAGCGAAAACTCGAGTAGAATCTTGTCTGCCACCAACCCATCACACAGTGCTCGTTTTTATACTGTGTAATAGAACCAGGGCGACCTCTTTTTTTCCGTCTATAATATGAAGCTTAACAAAACTAGTATTTATTTAACTTTGGGTGATGCCATTTACCCTGAGACACTGGAACAAACAAAGCTTTTTGGAAAATCAATAATGCAGTCCCTCAACTGGAAACAAAATTAGAGAAAAAGGCCTGCAGGTATTTACATACTATACACTCAATACTTGAGTGATAAATAAAAATGATCTCATTATAACACACCCAGTAGTGAGTATGCCCCAAATGTTTTTTTAAAGTGCCCCATCCAGCAAAACACCCTAGTGACATGCAAGATTACGCTTGCATATGTATTTCACCCAAAATGGGCCACTAGTTTTTACACATTGTTGTTTAACTTCTGCTGATTGCCTTCAGGGAGTAATGATAATTATGAAATTAACATTAAACACAGAAGAGGTGTAGATCTTGCAACTAATACTGGCCCACAGAGGAGTGAGACAACTACATAATAATGCATTTTCTGTGTATTCTTTATTCCACTCATGAAAACTGGACAGCTATGCCTCAGCTATGCAGACTGTAAATAAGTAGATACCCACCTGCACTAAACCACTAAACACGACCATTCTTCAACAGATTGTTCAGTCAAACATTTTACTGACAGTATTATGAATGCTTCGGCAATTAAGATCTAAATCATGGGGCCAACAGTAAAGCTGTATCTTGTCAATCTTAATTTGTTTTTCTTATTTGCAACCGTCGCACTAAATGTTTCCTGGAGAAGTTCAGCAATTTTTTCTGCCTTTACTGACTTTTCCATGTAACAAGGCTGACATAATATTTACACAAAGTTGCCAAAATGAAGCCATGTGTTGCCATCCGTGTGCTGACAACCCATCTCTTCACTCATAATTGTCAGCCAGCATTTTGACTCATAAATTCTCTGTATAATGAAATGGTATAACTTTTGTTTTTTTAGCTGCAAAAACACAAAGTGGGTAACAAATTAGAAATACCTTCAAATGTATTCCATGACAGCTCAACAGTCAGTCAGCCTTTTCGGTAAAATGTGCTCATTTGCTTTGTTTCTGAGAGTGAGATGAGTAGTGTAGGACATGCTTAGCTTAGCTTAGCACAAATACTGGAGCCAGGGAGAAACAGCCAACCTGGCTGTGTTCAAAGTTCAAACATACAGCTACCAACAACTCTAAAGCTGTCTTATTTTATGTACAAAGGCATGAAATGTAAAAATGACCATTTCTAATTTATGTTATGTTTTCGACTTATTTCTTGGCAAACGAGTGTATCCGTGTGCTCAGTATTTCTGTGTGGCCTGTCAAGCTATAGGGCAGAATGGCAGGTAAAGTGAGCACAAGTTTTGGTCTTAGTGCTGGCATGATGGTACCAAATTTGGCTGAATTCCATCAAAACAGTCAAGCCAGTGTCCAAAAAAAAATTTCCTGCTCCAAGATGTACATTAAAAAATGTCTACTGCAGTATTATACACAAGATAATAGTTAGCAGTAGACTTACAGTAATCAACCCTGCGTCAATGTCAAATACAGACCTTGGTTAAATAATTATCAGTGTTTGTTTAACCTGCCCAGCATACCAGATGGTGATGTTGGCACAATGAACCATGTACAAGGCCTATCAGAAAGTCAGTATAAGTAGTATAAATTTTCTGTGATGATGTATCGATCCCTAAAGCAAAAAGTAGTTTTTTTCACTTGCTGAGTTCAAGACATTAACCTGTGACTCAATGATACATTAAGTAATTTTCCTTCAAGAAACACACTAATCTCTTATACTGTTTGTAGTGAACAGCTGGGGTTTGTGTCATCTTTTACTGCCCCATCATGTTTTTCCATGATTTTTAGCATATGGTCTTTACAAATGCATGAAAACAGTAAATTATGACATGTTTATGACCCTAGGTTACATAGTGTCATACAGTAGATTTGGTTTGCCATTTCTATAGCTTTTACTATTGATATGATACCAAATGTGAAAGAGTTTTTAATGTTGTTCTTTTACTTTTGTTAATTGGTAGTTAACACAGAATATTTTCATGTTTTCACACATATTTCCAACCTTGTCTTTTTCAGGGAGCTAAAGACCAAGATTGAAAAAGAAGACACCAAAAGAGAGCTGTTGGGCAACCAGACCAGCCTGGCGGAGTCGCACTGTATTCGATGTCTTGAGCCCTTCAAGTTCCTGGTCAACAGCAAGCGTCAGTGTCTGGACTGCCAGCTCTACATCTGCAAGTCCTGCAGCCGCTACAACAAGAAGGAGCATGGCTGGGTGTGTGATCCCTGTCGCATGGCCAGGTAGGAAATGACAAATTAAAAAAAAAATAAACCTGTAGTAGGTTCAAAGTGAGGGCAGTAACGTGGTCAAAGGGTGAAAAATCTGTGTCTCTTTCAGAGATCCATTTACAAAGTGTCAGGTTCTCTTTAGAAACAATTTTTTTTTTTCAAGAGGTACATTTCAGAGCATATTTGCTTAATCAGTAGGGGTTTGGCACTGGCCTGTTTTCCCATATTTAAATTGATTGAGTCTGGCAAGGCTCCCAAACATTGCTTACTGATGACGTCACACATTATTATTATATTGACAGTTACTAAGCCATTTTTTTCCCTTTATTCTACCCTCACTTCATTTCCAATCTTATCATTTCTGTAAAGGCTATTTGCATCTTGCCAGCCAGTCTTGACGTACAGCTATTCAGTACAGTTCTACAGTTAACACTAAACACGCAAATCAGAG